TAGAATCGATTCTACAAAATATTTTCTGAAAAAAAAAATTTCTTTCATGTTTTGAAAGCATTCATGTTTTGAATGCTACTTCATGTTCTTTCATGTTTTGAAGTTGTCATCATTTTTACTAGGAACTAAGCTGTAATGACTTCTTGAAATAATTGAAATATTTATACTTGATTTTAAACTTTTAATGCCAGCTTGTAGCAAAGTACTATTTATCTGAAGCAATCTTGATTAAATAATTGTAAAATCTAATAGGTTGAAGAATAATCTTTGCTTTTTTTTATTCTTTACTAAATGTTTATCAGTTTCTTGCAAAACAAACACATAAATATTCTTTCTTCGCTTTGGTTAGGATAAATTAAAATAGGTAGTATAATGTTAGAACTAAAATTGAGATCTGCCTCCAACAAATAGCAATTCAATAACAGCTAAAACAGCATCGAATTCATTCAAATTTTCAAAGTCTGCGCTACAAAAAGTCATTTTAAAAACATTTGATGCACTCTCAGTCCGGTCACCCCTTAAAGCTCAAGTTATTTTGGCCCGCGTTTCCAACGGCCCGCGTTTCCAGACTAGTTAAATACTATGACTATGGTGTCAGGTACATCATAGTCATAAGAAATATATAGTCTGGAAGCAAACAATAGCGCTTTGTTTATGTTTTTGTTCCAGAAATTACTCGTTCTCATTCTTCCGAAGGTGCACAGTAAACATAAACATCGCATAGCGAAAGTATCGATCTCCTTATTTTCTTGATACTTTTATATTAAGTTTAAACAATTGTAATTTATTTTAGTGAACTGATTACAATTTGCTTTATTATTATTTGTTCTTGCAAGCTTGGCATTGTTAAAAAAAAAAGATTTATTCAAAATTATGCAAAACTACATTATCCCATGTCAATAACTTATTATTATTAGACAACGACTTAATAAGACGTTGTCTAATAATAATAAGTTATTGATATATATATAAGACTCTTATTGAATAAGACGTTGTCTAATATTACTTAAAAAGTTCAAAAGTCTATGAAATAGTTTTTCTTCGGTCTAAAACATGACTTTAAATAATTGTATATAAATATATATATATATATATATATATATATATATATATATATATATATTTATATATATATATATATATTTATATATATATATATATATATTATATATATATATATATATATATATATATATATATATATATATATATATATATATATATATATATATATATATATATATATATATTATATATATATATTATATTTATGTAATATACATATATATATTACATTAACATTTTTAGTTTAGAACATAACACTACTGTGCCTAATGCCATCAATATATATATGTATATATATATATATATATATATATATATATATATATATATATATATATATATATATATATATATATATATATATTGATGGCATTATGCACAGAAGTATTAAGTTCTAAACTAAAAATGTAAATGTGGCAAAGACACTTTGAACATTTATTAATAATATCAATTAGTAGACTCGTAACAATTTATCATACACTGACCATATTTGGACAGAATAATCTTTGAAAAATACAACAGTTTTTGTGAACTTAGCTCAATTTGACCAAATGTTGTACTTAACACTTCTGCACATAATGCCATCAATATATATCTATTTAGTTGTGTCAATGAATTAAAAACTAATAAAGTTTAAATGTATTTTGACTCTTTGATACATCTAGAATTAAAGATATATTTATGTGTTTACACAAGAATTTCCAATAAAATATATCAATTAGATTTTTGATTTTGTTAGACTTGACTACATAGAACAGCAGTTAAAGAAATAAATTTACTAGATACAATGTTAAACTAAAAAAATATTAAGCAAAATATTAGTAATATTATTTTATTAATACTAATTTATTTGTCATTCTCAGAATTTTTTAAACAAAAAAACTTATAAAGATTTGAAAAAATGATTTCTTAAATAAATTTTAGTTTTATATTTTTATTGGCAATATAATAAATATCATAAACAGTAAAGTAATTTTAGAATTTTGAAGCTAGTGAAAAAAATCTAACACTTAATATTCATAATAGTTAAATGTTCAAAAACATCAAACTTAAATACATTATACTGCATTTGCTTATACGCATTATGAAAAGTAAAAATAACTTGGAACTTTACTTACCGTTAATTAAAAATTGCTTTTTATTAGTCATGAATAGTGAAATCCAATCATTGAAAAAATATTTTCTTTCTTAGAATGTCAAAGAACAAAATATTTCTACCAAATTTCAAGTTTTTGTGTCAAAGAACAAAAAATCAATTAACATTAGTATTGATTTTTGATCTTTTGACACAACACAATAAACCATTTTACAAACATCTGGAAAAAAAATGAAAATAATTATATAACATATTATATATATGTATATATATATATATATATATATATATATATATATATAAAATATATATATATATATATTATTATATATATATATATATATATATATATATATATATATATATATATATATATATATATATATATATTTTATATATATATATATTTTATATATATATATATTTTATATATATATATATATATATATATATATATATATATATATTATATATATATATATATATATATATATATATATATATATATATATATATATATATATATATATATATATATATAATATATATATATTATATATATATATATATATAATATATATATATATATATATATATAATATATATATATATATATATATATATATATATATATATATATATATATATATATATATATATATATATATATATATATATATATATATATATATATATATATATATATATATATATATATATATAAACTACATATATTTACCTACAGCTACTGTGTTTTGTCAAAATAGTGGATAAATTTGGCAAAACACTTGCTCAGCTGTGCAACTAATTATTACATCAGTATAAATTTTAACATTAATGCCCGAGAGATTCTAATTTAACATTCAAAAGTTTTCTGGTGGAATAATTCACCATTCATCATCAAATAAGATTTTAGTTTTCTCTTATAAATAGTTGTGTTTTTTTTTTGTCACAAATGATACATGGAAGTACATTCCAAAGTTTAGGACCATAGTGTGATAATGCTTAATAACCAAAACGATTGCTGCATTTTGTTTCTTTTAATTTTAATTTTTAGTTTTAATTGCTTCCAGAATAATATATTTGTGTATTATTAGAAGATTTTATTTCACTTATGCTCTACCAGAGTAAAGGTTAAATTGTTTATATGGTGCTCCTCTGTGGCAAAATTATAATAAAACAATGGCACGCCTTCAGTATTGCTACAACAAATGTGGTAAAATGTTTTTTTGACTACAACAAGTATGATATCTCTCATGCTTTTAGAGCACAGATTACCATCTTTTCATACAATTATTTCAAACTACAGACATGCTTTTTGTAAACAGTTGATGGCTTGTTCCTTTGTGAATAATTCCATGCGTTCATTTAATCAAAGTTTAAAATAATATTTTTCTTGTAAAAACTATGGACCTGGCACCTAAATTGTATCTGCCTGTTGTCTGAAATATATTTATAATAATAATAATAATAATAATAATAATAATAATAATAATAATATATATATATATACTTATTATCATATTATATATATATATATATATATATATATATATATATATATATATATATATATATATATATATATATATATATATATATATATATATATATATATATATATATATATATATATATATATATATATATATATATATATATATGAAGACTGGTTTTGAGATTAGATATATATATATATTTAGATAATAATAATATATATATATATATATATATATATATAATATATGTATATACGTATAATATATGTATGTATATTTATTATCTTATTTATAACTACTTCAGCTATGTAAAATAGATTTTTAAAACTAAATAATCTTTTCTTAACAGATTAGAATAATAATTTATATAAAAAATTTTCAAAAACAATTTAAATTAAATCTAAAAACCAGTCTTTAGTTCAAACTCTTAAAGTGAGTAATGTTAAATAAAGTTTTGTTTATCTTTCTGTGCACATTCAGCGGGTCGTTGATACAAGTTTCAACATAAAACGGCAAAACAATAGATACGGCCTTTATTTCCAGACTATTTATTCTTATGACTATGGGTACATCAACAAAATAGCCGATTCCGGGTACCCGGTAAATCCGCCGAACTACTGGGCCCCTGGGTCCGAACTGGGTACCTGAAATATCTCTAATAACTGTACATTTAAAATATATATATATACTGGATAAGATATATGAAACAGAAGAAATAAAAACAAAAAAAAATATTTTCTGCTGAAAAGATAACTTCGTTTAATTTTCGTTTAAAAAAAGTTAAAGTCCATTTCAAAGACAAATCAAAATTTTGCAAAACTATTTTATTCCATATATAAGGAGCACGATAAGAAATAATTAGTTGTTCAAATTTAGTTTGGTAGAAAGTTTCTTGTAGATTTTTTCCATTGCGAAGATTGTATTTGATTATTGGTTTTACATTATAAAGGTTTATAAATACATCAGGAGATAAATGATTTTTACATTTAAACACGAAACATAAAATACTATAAACATTTAGTTCGTATACATTTAAGGCCTTCATTTCTCTCAGAAGTAGTTTTAAATTTAAAAAACGATTTACAAAATTTATTGAGTGAGCTGCGTTTTTCTGATGCTGATAAAGAGATTTAAGTTTAGTTTTGTGCGCGCTTCCCCATACAATATTTGCATAATTTAAATGGCAGTGGATAAACAAACAATATAGTTGTTTTAATTGTTATTATTTTAACATATTATGTCGAACTTTATATACAATTCCAATACTTTTAGCAACTTTCATGGAGATATTATCAACTTGTTGTTTCCAGGACAAGTATATATACTTACAATACACACAATGTTAAACCTTATATACACTGTAAATCTAAATGGTTCTTTGAGAGTTCTTTGACGCACCAAATGGTTCTTTAAATTCATTTGGGGTTCTTTAACTAGCTAACGGGTTCTTCGCGCAGTTGTATGGTTCTTGATCAAATTTCGGAATTTCGATAAGGTTCTTCGTGTTTTTAAACAATTTATAAGGGTTCTTTATATATCTCGCGTGCTTATTGGAGTTAAACGCTTAATGGTACTTTGTAAAAAGCTTTTAAAAAAATCTGATTTAAAATTATTTGAATTTAAAGTGTTTCGTTGTTTTTTGGTATGGCAGAACATTTAAATTGGAGTGTAGAAGATGTCTGCAGATATTTAGAATTAAAGGGACTTCCCGAATTGAGACAGAAAATTACTGGTTTGATTGTTGTTTTAATTTTTTTATTTTATAATTATTTTTGAACTTTAATATTTTTTTTTAGTCTAGTCATTTTTAACTTAAATTTAAGTAAAATATTTTGGAATGGCAGCAAATAGTAATATTATATGCTTTACCTGTTCCACATGCGGTATACATAAGTATTCTATGCAAAAATATTTAGATCATTTGCATATTATGCATGAGCATACAGCTGGTTATCTTGCTGTATGTAATATTGATGGTTGCCCAGCATCCTATAAATCTATAAAATGTTTGCGTCAGCATATTAGAATTAAACATACTACAATTTACTATTCAAATAATTTGTCAACAAACGTCTGCACTACTTCAACTGCTGAAATATTAGAAAATGAATATTTAGAAAACTGTGATGATCAAAGCAATGGAAATGAATGTGACAATGCAACTATCAGTTGTTTTCATTCTGATTCACCTGATTTGTCTATGTCATTAGAAAAGTTGCTAGACACCTTGCAGCAGCATTTTGCTCTGTTTATTGTCGGATTAGCTGAAAAGCATTCTGTTCCATCTGTGGTGCAAATTGATTTGGCTAATGAAGTCCAATCCTTGCTAACTTATTATAATAATAATTTTTGTAGTATTATAAAACAGGAATTAGGCAACAGCTTAGTATCAAATGAAAATTTACAAAATTTGTTAAACAATGAATTGATTTTAGATAGAGTTTTATTAGTTGTTAACTCCAGCAAAAAAATTATTGCCTTTAGTAAAGCCAATTTAGGACTTATTTTGCCACTTGAAATTAGGGCTGTACCGGATTTCGGCTCCGGCTCCTGCTCCGGCCGAAATCCGGCCATTTTTACAAATCCGGCCCGAATCCGGCTCCGGCAAAAATTTAGCAAATCCGGCATAATTTTAGCCGGAGTTTTGAATTTTGTCAAATATTTATTACATTTTTTTTGCCCGTGTTTACATGTATACCTAATATTTTATTTATAAAAATCAATTTTTTTTGTAATTCTATATTTTATAAACCTCATATTTGTTTTGGTATTTGTATTTATTTTTCTTTATAATTTAATAAGCTTAGTCTAATTTCAAACAACAACGCAACAAAAAATTCTGAAGGGAAGACACACAATATTTTACAATGATGCAGGTATAAAGACTATGATGTCAACCCTAATCAAGTGATTGGATTTAAAACTAAATTCTCCTCATTACATGCAACGCTGACAGCTGAAAAAACAAGATTGAAGTCAATCTGAGCATACTGAACAGAAGATTGACAAAAATGAAGAAAATCCACCAAAATAGGCCGGGCTTAATAATTTTTCTACATCATCATCATCATTACTCTGGCAATTTATTGATAAAATTATTCAGTCTACGTCCGCTGGTGGCAGGGCACATAAACAACAATTACTAAAAAGCATTGAAACTCAGCTAAGGAAATATCCGAAAGAACCAGAAATACAATGGCGGAGTGACAAAATCCCGGAAAAAAAGTTCAATAGAATTACTATAAACTTTAAAAACATATGGCCTATAGAATTTCTTTAGAATTTCTATTAATTTATATATAGAAATTGCTTTAAAAGTTTTTAAATAACAACAATGAAGTTTAACAGAAAACAGCAGTCACTTAGTATTCTGAATAGTCCACATTGTTGACCATGCTCAACACCAAGTTGGGATGTACAGGATTTTGGCTCCTGTAGTTTTGTTTTGAAATCCGGCTCCGGCTCCGATTCCGGCCAGATCTGTCAGTAGAAATCCGGCAAATCCGGCTTCGGCCGGATTTGAAAAAATTAAATCCGGTACAGCCCTACTTGAAATAAATTTGTGTAGTAAAGATGATATCTTAGATGAAAATGATTTTTGTGTAGATTCAAATTGTGATCATCAAAATGGTTTACCTAAAAGTGCTATTATTGGAAACGCTTTTGGTTATACAACTTGTAATAATGATAATAACACAAACATTAAAGAGTCTTTTCAATACATTCCAATTTTACCACTGCTTAAACAGTTAATTGAAAAAGAGGAAATATGGAATTCTATAAAACGAAAATTAGAGAATGATTTGTCTGTGAAAACAAATTTGCTTTATTCATATTCAGATGGTTTTATTTGCAAGCACCATAACATTTTTAATAACAAGTATGCTTTAAGACTCCATTTGTATATTGATGAATTTGAGGTATGCAATCCGATTGGAGCTCATCGTAAAGTACATAAAATATGTGCATTTTACTTTTTCCTGGGTAACATTGAAGATAAATATATATCAAGACTTTAAAATATATACTTATGCATTCTTGTTAAAGAAAAATTAATTAAAGAACATAAAGCATACAAGGATGTTTTAAAACCTTTCATTCAAGATTTAATAACATTACAAAATGAAGGCATATTAGTTATGGTTGATGGCCAACAGACACGATTATATGGTGGCTTAGCAACAATCTCTGCTGATAACCTTTCAGCCCATGCACTGGCTGGTTTTCGTCGTGTTTTTAATTCTGGTTTTTTTTGTCGTCAGTATATGACTTCATATACTAACAAAAATAATATATTTTCTGAGCTTGATGCAACACTTCGTACTGATGAAATCCATCAGTATCACTTGGCTGCTATTTATGGCCAAGGTCAAATTTCATCAAGTATGTATGGTGTTGAAAGACGTTGTCCTTTTTTAGATTTATCATATTTTAAAGTTATGCAATCGTTTCCACCAGACATAATGCATGACATGCTGGAAGGTACAATTCCTCGATTAATTAGTCTATTGTTGTTAAAACTCAAAGAAGATAAGTTAATTTCGATTGATCAGATAAATGTAGAGCTTAATACATTTGAAATAGGTAGAAATGACAGATTGAATAAACCAGTTCCATTTGTTGTACGTTCTGCTACTTTTATTAATTTTATTGGATCAGCCTCACAAAAATATTGTATGTTTCGTTTGTTACCATTTATGATAGGGAATCGTATACCTATGTCTAACAAATATTGGTTGCTGTATTTACAGCTTAGAGAAATAGCTGATTATGTGTTTGCTCCAAAAATTTCTAAATCGGTGTTATCATTTCTGCAATTTTTAGTGGAGCAGTTTTTGCACAATTTTGCTGAACTTTTCTCAGACAATTTTACACCTAAGTTTCATTTCATGCTTCATTATGCTCGTCTTATTAATGATTATGGGCCACTACGTTATTTATGGTGTATGCGTTTTGAAGCAAAACACTTGTATTTCAAAAAATTGGCTTCTTCGATTAGAAATTTTAAAAATATTGCCTATTCGCTTGCAAAACGACACCAGTTACGGCAGTGTTGGGAGATGACATCCTCAGATTTCTTCAAAGAATATGAGAAAACTTATAATCTTTGTTCCATTATGTTTGAAAGTTTAGCAGCTTCTATTCAAGAAAAACTAGTAAGTTTTTTTGGTTATAGTATTACTGATAAGAAAGAAACTATTTGGAAGTGTAGCAGCTTGCTTATAAATAGAATCCAATTTCATGTTCATGATACAGTGATTCTAGCTTTATTACATGTGGAAGAAATACCATTATTTTTTAAAATCTATCATATTATAAGATTTCGTCATCACTGGGTGTTTTGTAGCAAGTTTCTTATTTGTGATAAATACTCTGCTCACTTGCATGCCTTCAGAGTTGTGGAAGAAGAAGATTTGACAATATGCTTACCAGCAGATGTTCTTGATCACCAATTGATAGAAACATATGTTTTGCAGGATGGGTGCTGTTATATTACACTCAGATACAGTTGTTTTTTATAGAATCTCTTTAGATTTTTATTATAACAATGTTGTAGTTAACTTGATATCATTATTTGGATACTTTTTTTCTTGCCAAAATGTATTACATGTGCAAATACTTTGCTGTTATTTTTATTTATTAAAATAAAATAAAATATTTATTGTGTTATTTTTTATGAGAGCTGCCGCCTCTTTAGCTGATTAAATATTTTATTGCATTAATTAATTTAAAATCTCAACATTTACCCTTTCACAATTTTTGTAAGTGTTTTATTATAGAGGAAGAAATTGATGGAAAAACGCTGGTGTCTTTAACTGAGACAATGGTGGCCAGTTTATGTCAGACGATTCGTTGGCAAGTAGTACTCATTGAAATTATAAGGCATCTTATAACTTCACATGAACAGCACGAAAGAACTAGCTCTTAGTAAACAAATTTTTATTTTAGCTTATATGTTACTTTTTAATTTTTAAATTTTTACTTAATAAGTTGTATCTGATATATATCACTCTTAAATTAGTTGTTCATAAAAGGTTTTGTTTTTTACAAAAAGAAAATGTAATTAGAGTGCATAGTAATTGAAATAATATATTAATTAGTGTTATTGAAAATGATGTTTTAAATACATCAATAACATCCCCAATATCTTGTGATGAAGATGGTAGTATGATTGCTGGAGTGTCCCAAAGTATGAAACCATGGCCAGTGTGTTATCAACTACCCATTTTGCCTCCATCAGTAAATGCAGCTTTAGATGCTAAAGATCATTGTTTTCTTAACTTGAATCGTAGCAAATGTAGGAACCAGCTTTTACAATGTCTTTATGACGACATCAGCAGATACACAATGTAAGTTGCATTATTTAAAACTTAAATTTCACTTGGTTATATAAAACTTGTTTTTATAAATAAATGTAGTTTATGTATAATATTATATTATATATGTATAATATAATAATTATGTAAAACATATATTTAAAGATTTTTGTATAGGTATCCATCAGGTGTGCAATACTCAGCTGTACTTGCTGCCATTTGCAGTAGGTATCCACACTTAAGTGACTTCCCATCAAAAAGTACTTCTTATAGATATGTTGTTTGTGTAAGTTTCTATGTAATGCTTTTGTTGCATTTACTGATTACATCCCTATTAGCTTTTTTATATGTATTATTTATATTTATACTTCTAAGTTTATTTATATTTCAATTTATAAACCGAAATTCAATTTCAAAAATAGATAAAATATTAAACACCTTAACACACACACATACACATGTTAGCCAACACTATTAGAAAGCTTGAAGAACAAGTTTAAAAAAGAAAGAGCTCCTTTAATCCATTTGTCTGTTGTTGCTGAACATAAGAAGAAATTTGGCCAACAAGGTAGAGGTCCAAAAAGAAAGGAAGATGCTGTTAGTGATAACCAATCTTGTACTAGGAAAAATAGAGAATTGGTATAAATATTTTTTGCTTTATACATGCATTTAGTTTTTTCACAAATAAAAAAGAAAGATTTATTTAAAAGTAAAGTTTCTATTTTTAAAACATCTTTTTTTTAAAGCCGAACAAACTTCCTCTTGGGGAAGATAAAACAACTATTGTAAAACATCATGATGACATGAAAATAGAATGCAATAAGCTCCGGCCAGACATTAACATGCTGTTAGATCGCCAGCAACGTACTTGTGCTGCTCGTGCAAAGGATTTTGATTCTGTATTAAGTACAGCAGATTTAAAATCTACTTATCCTTGGCTCTCTATTGCTAGATTGGTTTGTTTTTATTAGCATAATATTTTACTATCAAAATTCTGCGTTACACTAGTTATAAAGTTATAAATTACTTATTGTATTATTATTTCTTACATTTTTTTATTCTCTTTGAAAAAAGTTTTATCTCAAAATACTTTTGGTAGGCTGACAAAAATAACTTTTTAATTTATATAAATTGATACTTTCAAAAGTGTTATATATATATATATAGGGTAAACAATCAATTAATTGGTTGTACTCACTTTTTTCACTTTTTATATCTAACCCATTTTGTACTTCATTTGGGTAGTTTTTACTAGGAAAAGGTTATTTTTATATAATAAATGTGAATAAATAATAGATAGGCCCATATTATAGAATATTGGTCCCTAAAATACTTTTATATTAAGGTAGTTTAAATTTAAAACTTTGTTGAATGTCTGAAACACTCAATAAATGATTGCAATTTTAATTATATATATATATATATATATATATATATATATATATATATATATATATATATATATATATATATATATATATATATATATATATATATATATATATAATTTTTTTTTTAAGTTTCAAAATGAAATGAGATTAAGATTTGCCAAAGATCTTGACAAACAACTCCACCAATGTATGGGTGGAGTTGTTTGTCAAGAAAACTTTTTTCAAAGAGAATAAAAAAATGTAAGAAATAATAATACAATAAGTAATTTATAACTTTATAACTAGTGTAACGCAGAATTTTGATAGTAAAATATTATGCTAATAAAAACAAAATGATGCAACTCGTAAAATCAAAACATAAAGATGATGTAGTAAATGCAATTTCTGCAGAAATTGAGTGTGAACTTGATGACTCCATGAAGAAATGTAATGTTTAATATTTGTGTCGCAATATTTTATAAAATGTTAGCAATGTAAAGTAAAAGTAAATTAAATTTTGATTTAAAATATTAATGATTTCGATTATTAGTAGTTCTGATTTTGATTATTAGTAGTTGCACATGGCCTTATACAACCCTTGGAATTAGGATCTACATTCGGCAATGGTGACCTAACTGTTTTTGAGGTCATCGAGTTTTTGCTGATTGTTTCGAATTTTATACTAGACTTTTTTTTTTTTTTTTTTAATTTTATACTAGACTTTTTCAACAGTGTATTCATTCCATCTCAACAATATAATAAGCTTTTTCTACCTAATTCTAAGGCCTGGTCTTGTATTTTACTATTAACAGTATTTTATAAATAATTTGTTACATTACAGATGCCACATTAAATGCAGCCATTATTGTTTTACCAAGACTGTTCAAAGAATCTATAGACTGCCTGGTTACGTTTGACATCGAACCATTGCAGAGTACGCCAACTATCAAAGTGCCAAAAAAACAAAGGCTAATAACAAAAGACTGTTGTGTAATGTTGGATGGTTGCAACATAATAGAGCATTTCAGCGATGTTGATGTTTCGTTGGCTATGTCGTGTGTTTTTGCATCGTATTATATATATAATATTCAATATCCAGCGCAATTGAAGAACACATTGTTGTTTTATGAACATATTGTTTATGGATTGTCTGCTAAAGCATCACCAGTGACTATAACGAGAATGGCAAATACTTTGAATGAGTAATCAAGTTGATTTATTATGTGTTTGTAATTATATATTTGCATAGTCAATAATTCAGCTTTTTTTTTTACCCTTAAAATTAATTGTTTATGTTATTCTGGAGTGGTTTTACATTTATTTTAATAATTATGCATTGAGTCATAAGTTGCAACATACGTGGATTCTTAAAATACTCTATTATAAATGCTTATTTTTTCATAATAAAAAAATATTTACAATATATTATAATATTGTATATAAACTATTATAGTAAAAAAGTATATATGCTATATTTTATATTAAATATAAAACATTTCTTTAAATGTTGATTTTCTCTAGATATATAAAATAAAATAGTTATTATATTATAGTTATAGTTATATAGTTATAATAAAAACAATATAAATTGATTTATTTATTCATTTTATTATTTTTTAACTCTCCTTCAAAAATCAGAAATAAAAAAAAAGTACTTTTTGTAAAAAGGAAACATTTATTAAAATAAAATTAATTTACATTATTAAATTAAAAAGGAATTAAATATGGTTTTGAAAAGAATTAAAAATAGTCGCTAAGGTAATGCCTGTGTCTCTCTTGCAACAAAATATAACATGAAGGCAATTTATGCGAAACTGTATGAAAGGTTCTTTGAAGAACCTCAACGGGTGCTCAAATATAGCACCCGTGGTAGAGTTCTTCGAAGATCCCTAAGTAGTTCTTTAAAGAACCTTTACGGATGGTTCTTGCGAAGAACCATTTTATAAGGTTCTTTAAAGAACCTAAAAGGGTGCTCCATTGGCATAACTGCTAAGAACCTTTAATAGTTCTTCCGAGAACCATTCGGCTTAAGAGTGTATATACACTACAATATATACATACATTACACACAATATTAAACCTTATATTATAGGTTACATATATTAATTTAAAAAAAGTAAATAGCAAGATATAGAAGAAGCAACAACAACTAAATCGACAGAAAAAAATGTAAAAAAAAAAGAAAAGTTTATCATTATCTTAACATTGATAAAATTCTTTCCATCTTTATCAAAAAACATAAACTGATAATTAACTTGCCTCAATTTGTTATTGACAATATACAAACTAAAAAAGTAACAATAACCAACTTTCTAGGTGTTTGTATAGATGAAAATCTTACTTTGAAAAATCACATTAAAAACTTATAAAGTAAAATTTCAAAAAGTATAGGAATATTGTACAAAGCAAGAAATGTTTTACCGAGTATCTTTAAAAATAATTTAACCAATTACTTTACAATTATATCACTCAAGTAACCATTTACTTTACAATTATATCACTCGTTTATTCATTGTCACATAAATGCAAACATTGCTTGGGGTAGTACAAATAAAAATAAACTTAAACCTCTTTATTATCAGCAGAAGCATGTGCTACATGCTCTTATATATTTTAAAGACCGTTATACTCATGCCAAGCCTCTATTACTTATAATGAAAGTTTTTGATATATATGAATTTTTAATACTCTTTGTTTTATGTTTAAATGTAAAACCAATTCATTCCCAACTTCTTTCCATAATTTGTATTCATCAAAAGATAAAAATATTTTACGCAAAAGATAAAAAAATATTTTACGCAAAAGAAAAAAAATATTTTACGCAAAAAAAAAAAATTTTACGCAAAAGATAAAAATATTTTACGCAATGATAATTTTATTAGGCAGCCCATTTTTCAAACAAATCTTTTTAAATTTTGTATTGAATATCGCGGACCATTCTTATGAAATAAATATTTAAAAAATTTTTTACTGAGGATTTTATTCATCAAACTACTTTTCTTTTAAACGAAAGCTTAAAAAACTATCGAAGATTTTAACACTGTATTTCTGATATTTTTTAGTGATCTTCTCTTTTACCAGAGGGTAAATTCATGTTTAAATAGAGATTTAAACATGAATTTACAAAATTATATATGTATCATTAAAAACTGTAATCTGCATATATAATAGATATATACCTTGTATTTAAAACCGAATATTTATGTTTCTTACTTCGTTAACTTATTTTTTATCTTATAAATACGTTATAAATTTTAACACGAACATTTCTTAGCGGTACTCGACGGCAAGACCGTATGATCTTCTACGAGTCCCCGCGTTTTATTATTTTTTGATAACGAATATTATAAATTTATATTTTTTCATTATTATATCGCATAATTATCAATTTTTAAAAAAAGTTCTCTATAACTTGAATTTTTTAAAATATGAAAAAAAAAAAAAAAAAAAAAAAATACTTTAGAAAAAAATACAAAGCATCTTAAAGTTCACTATTCATCTTAGAAATCTTTTGGTATCCTCATATTTCCTAGGTGCTCATGTTACCTTATTCTGCTCTATATACATGCTTTACACTGTGTAAGGCACAAAAACACGACGTTTAAGGTTTAGGAAAACATAAAATATAACGTTACGTTGAGTTATGGGGATGATAAACTACAGACTCTGACGTATGAATTGTAGCTAGATTGTAGAGTGTTGATAATTTCTTAAGAGGTTTAAAATCAATTACACAAATCTTTTAATTACAAGATTTACTATGTAGAAAACTTGTAGACTCAATAAGCACTATACCAATAGTTTCTGACTAATCAGCAATTACAATATCCGAAAAATTTCCTTTTTATTATTTAAACATAGAATTATTTATTTTTAAAATAAAGCAAGCAGCAAAATATGTAATCATGCCGAAGCCACTTAATAATTTCTTATTTTACTAATTAATCCAATGAAGCGTTGTAATTGGATAGTTACCATAACAACAAAACAAAAGGTGCGTTTGTTACCTAAATATTGGGAGCAAAAAGAAACAACATCAAAACATGCAACCAAAAATTGAATTAATGTAAGTTTTTCAATAACTTAATTTTTTTTAATAATAAGATATAATTCTTGTAGCAATTTTGACTTATTTTTGTGTTTTAAATTATTTTTTTTGAAAATAGATTTGAATAAACTAATCTACACAGTATTGTAAATTTATCATAAAAACGTTTAGTACTAAAATTTTCCTAAATATTTAGATCAGCAATAGCTACCACTTGAAAATGCTCTTTGTTTGTTTGAATCGTTTTTAAGATAAAGAGTATATTTCAGTAGAAAGGTATTGGAGTACATAAAATTAACTTTATTTATTTAAAAATAATAACACTTAGGTTTAAGTGGATTTTGGTGAGAACATGGTAATGGTGAGGACTGGGTGATAGTAAGGACGTGACCTGGGTAAACGGTGAGAAATGAGTGAAGGTGAGGACTGGGTGACGGTGAGGACTGGGTGATTTGGTTTTAATATTATGCTTTTGATTGTGTTAAGTTGAATTTAATCAAAGCAAACATGTTTTGGCGTTTTGCTACCAACTTAAAAAAATGTTAAATTTTTAGCTTAAAATTGTTGTCGAAATCAAAATTTAATAATCTATATAATCATATAATGCATGTAAATGGTTATTATTTTTTATAGTTTGTCATATTACCCCACCCCTTAGTAACTATTAGTGAAATTTTTAAAATCTTTTAATTTTTTCTGCGAAAATAAATTTAATTTAAAAGTTCAAATTGAGCGAAATTTCGACTTTATTTTGACTAATAATTGTAGAATGAGAACCACTCTATATAATTTAATAAAAATTAGTGCAAATGAAGCCTTAGAAATTTAGTGTTACATAATTTATGGACGACCGTAATTACTTTGATATTCGATCACTATTTTCTAAATAATGGTTAAGTAAGTGTTTTATTATGTAACACCAACAGTTTTTATTATGTTTCATTGATACATATACGATTTTCATTTTATAAATCAAAATATACATTTGCCACTTAAAGCGTGATGTGAATTGGTTTATGAATAGCGTGAATACATCACTATTTCCTAGATATAAACTAATGTCAAAAATGCAAAATAATGCTAAAAAAAAGTGCAAAACCAAAAGACTACCTATTAAAACAAACAAAAAGTTCACAATTTTATTTTTATTCTATTCACAATTTTATTTTTGACTTTTGAAACTTTCTTAAATACATTTACTTTCAAAATTAAGTAAAAAAAGTAACAATTTAAACCCTATTTTTTAAAATTGCATTACCATCAAATAGCATTTGATTTCATTTTTTAAACATGTTCTTTGATTTTCTTGGCAAATAACTCAAGAGGTAATTTGTTCGGCTGCTTTGGCTTTTTTTGTTGCTAAAGATTAAAGGCTTTCCCTAAACTTTATTTAAAAGCAATGGTAAGAAAAACCTGTTTCGAAAGAGCTGAGGCATTTGCTGCAATGTACACTTGGTTCTTGTTTAATAACGGTTTTAAATAATCAAAATGACAGATTAGGCAACAACACATTGGGTATCTTCTTTTCCCTACTGTTTCCTGCGCAAAATAGCTTTGCCAATTCGCAGAGTCCATTTGATACCTAAGAATCACTGATACTGATTCTGGTCTTGTAGAGTTGGCATATTTGATCTGGTTGATATTTTAGGCAAAGCAAGCACACCAACTTTCAATTTTTATCATGAATCTTTGTTTTATTTAGAATTGTAGCAGTTTACTAAATTTAATATCACTAAATAAAACTCTGCCTTGTACAAAATTAAACATTAATTTTTATTGCATAACATATTTACAAATATGATTAATTAAAAATATTATAATAAAGAAAATGTTTACCTAAATTAAAAGGAAATAATTGTTAAATATTTTGTTTTTTACAAGAAAATAAATATTTAAATTAATAATACTTGCCACATTTTAGATCTTTTTTGATGATACAGTTCAAAAAATAATTTTCATTGCTCTTCATAGAATTATTTTCCCTCTTCATAACATCCTTCTTTTTCAATTTTTTGTTTATCAAATTTTACAATTTTTTTTTTAAACAACCCTAATCTGTAAAGATTAATTTTTCTCGGATCTCCAAACTTTTTAGCTGTCAGTTATATTAGTTATCTTAACTAAATTTTTATTTCAACCATTTTAGTCAATATAAAAAATGTTTGTTTTTTCTCATAGTTTTTCTGTTTAAAGATAAAAAAATATTACTTGTTTTCTATGTAGGTGTTCCTAGAAAATCTTTTCAGCCTTCTTTTTTTTTTCTTTCTATTTGATGCATTTTGACTGTAGCTTATACCTTACAAGATGCTGAGATTTTAAAGCTTAGTTCAACCCACGCTTTAAATAGCAAAAATGCATATTTTGGTCTACAAAATTAAAATTGTACATGTAACAATAAAACAATTGTAATAAAAATTAGAACACTTATTTTAACTTATTTAATTTATGTAGAAAATAGTGACCGAATATCACAGTAACCGGTAACCGGTATAAGTAGCAAAAAATTAACAAACTTTAAACTAAAGCTGCTAAAAATTCTTAATCACAAATCAGACTGAAAATTTATTCAAAGTATCAAAAATTGGTTCTCATTCTATAGTTTTTTTTTATTGGCGCACTATGAACTTAAAGTCCACTCAATTTAAACATTCAAATTAATTTTTTTTCAGCGGACAAACTTAAAACATTTCAAAACTTGCATCGAAAGGTACCTTGGTGTATACACGTTCTTGGGTCAGCTAGGTTGGCATTATTAGGATCCATACTACTTAGAGTATCACAACCAATAAGCAAATAGTAAAATCACTAATAAAGCTGTAACTTTTGTCAAACAAATTTTAGTAAAATTAATTTATTACTTACTTGCCTGATGATTATGTATACGCATAAATCTCTGCATTATTAGTAATAGTAATAGTAATATATTTAAATAAGTCTTTATAGATTACATGAAAAATAAATAAAAAAACAATCCAATAAACAGATTAAAAAACAAAAGCATTTTTTTTTTTTAATTTAATTTTTTTTTTTTATTATTTTTTTTTTATTTTTTTTTTTTTTTTAATTTTTTTTTTTTATTTTTATTTTTTTTTTTTAATTTTTTTTTTTTTTGCTTTCGTTTAATTACAGTTTACGTTTATGACAAATGTACCTAAAAAGTCAATATTTGTAGCTGCTAAAGCACGAATTAATTAAATTAAACGTGCAGCTCATCTTCAGTAAAAGATGCACTGTTTGCAGCTGTAGGAAAAAAATACTTGTCAATTCTACTTTTAAATGCGTTAATTGACGGAGCCTTTTTGCATGACAACGGTAAATAATTCCAATCATTCACAATACGATTTGTGAAGAAATTATGTCGAGCATTATTGTAAGTGAAATCACGCGTTAGTACGTTGGATGGTGATCTGCGAAGAGGTGGATTATGCCAATTAATAATTTCAAAACCGTTTTCAACTGTTGGATCAAATTGCCGCGTCGCCTGCGAGTTTCCAAAGAAGTTATATTATATTATAAGTATTAGCAATCAATATTTTCATGGTTGCTGAGGGTAAAAGTTACATTTATTCCTTTTTAGAATTCATCATCTTTTCCTAATACCTATAACTTGCAGTATTTAAATCTTCTGTTGACTTTTTTTTAATTCTATTTTTCTACTATAGAAGTGAACATTGAGAAGAAATTATTGAAAATTCACGAGAGCTTACTTTTTGCCTTAAAAAGCTTATAACAATTAGTAATATAAAAGATAATAAGAAATAGACCTAATAAATTTTAAAATTTACGTTAAAATATATAAGTATCCAACAAACAAATATTATCAAACAAACACACAGAAAAATTCAATTTAACAGAAATACCGCAAAAATAACTACCGGCAAAATTACTTTCGTAAAAACATTCCTAGTAGTTTAAAAAGTTTTGGCTAATGTTTTACACAAAAGTATTAATGAAATCATCAAAAGTTGAAGCTGATGCTAAGAATGAAGAAATAAAATATATTTTAATTATTTTTTCCAAATAATTACTTTACAATATAACACTCTTTTAACACTTTTACATGTATTTTTGAACCCTAACAAGAGCTTTACAGCGAAACAACAAGTCAAGAATATATATGCAAGAACGTTGTCAATATATTTTTTGTTAAAAAAAAAATAGATCAACTTGTTTATTTATCATTAATTTGAAACAAAGGAAGACATAATGAAAATAGATATTGGGCGCTATAAATAGGAAAGAAAATTAACACTAAACAACTCAAAAATTGGGAGTTGAAACTTTTTAATAACCTTAATGCTATGAAAATAATGCTGTGTAAAGTGTTCTGCGTTCAACTTATTTCGTGACGTTAGAATAATAGGGTTCTATATCCCTTTTGTAATGTTGAGAGAACTTAACAAAATTTGTTATTCTCTCTTAAAATTTAAAAATAAAAAATAAAAATTTGAAAATTCGTTAAAATAAAAGATCAAAATATCTTATTTGTTTAACTGCTAATATCACACATAATTTATTATTTATTTAGTAGTATAAATTGGTATAAGAGAAAATAATATATCGGTAAATGAGAAATATTAGATTCTATCTACCAATTTTTATCGTAAAAAAATCTCATTTTTTGTTTTAGTTTATGAAATTGTTTTTGTGTTTAAAGTTATATAATTTTAGTATATTAAATTTATTATTATTATTTATATAACATATTAATAAATAATAATAAACAAAATATGTAGCCATGTTATGTATTGTCCATATTTTAAGTTACTACTTTTTAGTAAATTTCAAGTTACTACGTTTTTTTGTGCAGTTTCGATCTAGTACTACTTATGTATGGGTTTGAAATCAATAGCAGTCTATTTAATACGTCTGTATTGCAGTCGATACAAGAAAACTTTTGACTAAAATTTTGTCTGTACTGCCGAAAGTGTTTGTTTCTGGCTTCAGCTGCCTCCTAAGATAACTGGCCGATAGGGAGGGTTGTATGAGTTATTACTTCTGCGCCATGCATCAAAATTTATGCATAGTTGGAGACATAGGATACCAACCATACAGATTGATATACATTTTAACAATTTCATGAACAAAAGCGTCGAATTTAACAGCAAAAATTTTATATATTTTATATCCACTTGAAATGACTTCAAGAGTAACGTGTAAACGTTTTATTAAATTCAAGTTAACACCAGTTATTTGTAAAGATAATTTCGGGTTTGAAAAAAATTTTCTAGACGTTTGCCGTCATTGGTATTTTCAAACCCTGCTTTAAGTATATCTACTTGAAGCTCTAATTTACCTTTGAAGGATGTTTGAATTTTCTTCTTCGCTTCTTTGACAATTTTTTTTTCCTCGTCTAATCAAACTTGCCACTTTTGTAAAGGATGAAGCCCTCTCATTTGGACTCTCGATTCTTCCTTGCATGAAGAATCGAGAGTCCATGTGACTGTATTGATTTTCTCTTTTTTAATAAATTTATTAAAATCTTTTGATGTTTTTCCACAAATGTAGCACCTCATAGTAAATGTAGTATCAATTGCAGCGTTGCACATTTTACCATCTACCATTGTAAAAAGCAAGATATGCTTTATTTTTCCAATTTGATTGGGCAATCTTGTTTCCCTAAGATTCATTATTTGGTTTTTTACGTGTTCCTACCTCTTTCAGTGTTATGTCTTTCGATTCGCTAATGAAGTATTTTTGAATAAGCCTGCAGAACCTTGGAGAAGAGGTGACTGGATTTTGCCATATAATTTTTTCCTGTTCACCATCAATTTTAACAATCATTTTCAAAGTTACTAAACAACTTTGCAAAATAGTTGCATCACTGTCGGTATTGTTTTGAAATTTTTGCTTAAATTTTGCTTGTTGTGATCCATCGCAGCCCCATTTTGATAATAAAACCATATTCTTCTGTTCTTCTTCTGAAAACTTTTCTACAACCTCTGAGACATACTTATATAACCGCAATGTGGTGTGGTCAAGTAATGTTTGTAGTTGAATTTCCGCTGAAGTTTCGGTTACTTGTATTAATTCCTTATCAGGATAACGTTCTTTTTTGGCTTGTTAATTGTTGAGTAGCAGGGGTAGACATTTTTTTTTCTACTTTGAATTAGCTCCCACTGTTTTCTGGGAAAATTGCCTTTTACAAACAGCTTCAGTACCTCTTGAGGTGTTAATTAATTCGCAGTTACTCTTTTTAAAGCAGAGTTAAATACTTTTCGAAATTTCTTTGCTTTGGTAGGCGTGGCCGTTATTTCTTTAATAAATTTTGCCTACATCAGTATTTCCTGCGTTGATTCACTCTGGCTACATAAGTCAACTCATTAACAGATACCTGCTCGCGCAGATCCATAGTTTAAGACGTTTACTTTTTTTTATTTATTTGTTATTTAGGTGCCCCAAAAAGTCCTCACGGTTTTCTTACAGAGCACCGCGCAAGTGTATTTAACCAGAAAGTTCACGTTCAAGTTCTTTCCTTACCGTGACGCAAAATATGTCTATAGCTTGCTTCGCACCTGGATCTCCTACTTATAAAGCAAGCGCTTTAACCACTGCGCCACGGTCGCACAAACTTTTCGCAATGACTAAGCTGTATAAATGATTTCGATGGTCGTAAGTCTGTCAAACGTTTATTGACCAATAAGGTAATTCGATGTTTGATTTGAGCCATTATTTATTGTTTTTTATAAAGCTTGTTTATAACTTGCAGCTATCCATCTTTTTTTGAAATCGCTCTTAAAGAAATTTAAAATTCTCGTTATGGCACTTTTTTGATTTCTCGGATATTTCATAACTGTTAAAAGCTGTTCTCCCAACAACGTAAAAACTTTTCTTTAAATTTTTTACCTTTATAATCTTTCATTATTTTATATAACTCTCTTCGAGTGAACAGCTTTTTTACTTTAGACGATTCTACAAAATAAATAATAAAACAATAAATACAAAGTTGGGTTACGGTGTTCGTAACGATCGACAAATAAAACATTTATATTTGTTTAAGATTTTATAGTTTAATAGTTTAATATATTATCTATTTAAGATTTGTTTACGTAGTTTAGTTAAGTTTTTATAAAACATTTTAAAAATCGGACCTCAAGAATTTATTTTATTGCTGTTTTTGTACTTTTTACGAGATTAAGTATTGGTAATTACGTAATGGTTTACACTCTATTTTCAAAGCCTTGAAACAAAAGGTGACGGATGTTGGCGTATAATTTTACAAAAGTATCTAATTGTTAACAGCCTATATTTATTCCGTGTAAAAAAAATTTAACTCAACAAGACCATACTTGTTAACAAAAATATTATTGTCTTATAATTTTATGTCAGAATTAAAACTCAAATCGCAAAAGCGCTCTATATTATGCCCAATAACAACAGAAATTTAAAATAATAATATTTTCAAAATATAGTACATACCTTCCTCTTTAGTTTTTAATTTAAAGTTTAATTTTTCAAAACTGAACAATATTATAAGAATAGCTGGAATAACAAATGTCACAAATTTTCAAATTAAAAACAAAAAAAAAAAAAATTCAAACAACAACGCCACGTTCTGAATGAAAATGTGACAAAAGGAAAAAGCGCGGAAAATTTTTTTTATAACTTAATCTAATGAAGCAATTACCTATCTTAAAAATTATAAGGTTAATAGGATTTTTATGCCAATTTTTTTTTTTGACTTTTGAGCGATTTGTTATACAAATCCTTCATTGTGCAACGTTAAAAAATGGAGATTATTCTATCGTCACGATTTTAAAATTTGTTATAAAAAACTTTTAAATTTGTATTTCATATTTAGTTTGGAAAAAAATGTGCTTGAAATTTATTTTATTTGCAAATTGGATTTTCGTTATTAAAGGTATTTATTTATTTTTTTTGTTTTTTTATTATCTATTTTTAAATAACAAAACAAAGTGTATCCAGGGCTTGGATTCAGGGTTTTCTCACGTCAAAAACTAAACCTTATAGATATATCAGTTTTGATTTTAAAAATGTATAAAATTTAAATAAAATCAAAATTGAGTATTTCTTATTTCTGAAAATGTCATTTTATACTCTTTCCAATAATATATTATTTGATAGCTCTTATGAAATACGAAAATGAACAAATAGGGTTTTATAATTTGAAAATTGCATTCTTTTTTTGTCTCTTAAGTTTTAAATTGCATTTTTTGGATGAGATTGCAATTTTGAGTACTTCAAATATCATATTTTCGGATATATTGATCTTTATAATAATGATAATAATAATAATAATAATAATAATAATAGCAATAATAACAATAATAATAATATATTTAAATAGTTTTTTTAGATTACATGGCAAATTATTAAATATAAAATAAAAAAGAAACTAATAAGTTATAAAAAAAGTTTATGGTTTGTAAAATACAAACTTTAAGTAACAAAAAGCGTTTGTTATTTCAAAGCTAAGTAAGTTGATATCAAAACTGAGAAAAAGAAAAAGAAGATTGTTTTCGTTTAATTAAAACTTTAAAAACAAATAGTTTCTAAAAAATCAATATTTGTAGCTGCTAAAGCACTAATTCATTAATAAACGTTCAGCTCATCTTCAGATATACTGTTTGCAGCAATAGATGCTTTATGTAGAAAGCTTTCAATTTATGAAGTATTCTACGGTGAGAAACTTTGTCAAAAGTTATGATTTGAAATTTTCAGAAAACGTTCTTCAATATTCATATATATATATATATATATATATATATATATATATATATATATATATATATATATATATATATATATATATATATATATATATATATATATATATATATATATAGAGCTAAGAAACATAGTTTCTTTAGCATAAATAACCCCACCTCTGGGCAAGTTTTGCAACATCGGTTAGGAAGGAGGCGTGAGCTTCTTATTAAATGCTTATCTGCGATGTTCTGTAATAAGACCGTAAGGACTTTTTGGGGCACCTAAATAAAAATAAAACATATATATATATATATATATATATATATATATATATATATATATATATATATATATATATATATATATATATATATATATATATATATATATATATATATATATATATACCCAGCGGGCATTTTGACGTCCTAAGGACGTTTATAAGACGTCTCAAGTCTTGTACGTAAGACGTCCTTAGTTGGTCTCAAATGAAAGACCTGAGGACGTCTATTCCAGACGTCCTAGGGACGTTTATTGTAGACGTCCTAGAGACGTCTTTTCAGCCGTCCTATGGACGTCTCTGGCAGGTCTCATGTGAAAGACTTAAGGACGTCTTATTCAGACGTCCTAGAGACGTAAATTTACTTAGACATTCTTTTAAAAGTTATATAAAAATGCAATGATATGCAATACACACCTTAGATGGCAAGTGAAGGTTTAAAGAGAAATCAAAGTTCATAATCGATAGTATATTATAAGTAAAAAAAAAAATAACTGAAAAATGCAAAATAAATAAAAAAACAGCAGTTGATTGAAGTTAATTAAGCCATCATTCATCGATATCGATATTGGTGGATTTTCTATTGAATGGGTCAGAAGAATGCCTATTTAATCTTCCAATAAGTTGCATGAGATCCATTTTGGTTAAGCTTTTATTTGAATTTGAAGCAGCATCTAATGAAAACAACAAGACATAGTTCATTAAGATCATAAAATAAAATACATGTCATGTTCCATAGCCAAAGAAATTGAGAAAAAAAAATTTTTTAATTAAAGATCGTTTTTAATTTTAAAAGTAAATTAAACACAATAATAAGCTAATAAGAATACCAGTGATAGCGATACATTGACTTGTCAACTTTTTAAACTTTTTTTTCTTCTATAGACCATTCATGCTGCATTCTAAAAATAGTGTCTTGTCAGTCTACATATAAAAAAGATGATAAATGTCATGCTGTCAAACATAAATATTAAAATTTAAACTTATGCTAATTACTTACAAGAGCAAAATATTTTTAATTGTATCAACTAAATTTTTACCGCCAATTAATGATAACTGTTTTACCTAAAAAGAAACAATGCGAAAGAAACATTGAAAATGTTCATGACAATTCAAAAGAAAAAATTGTAATAATATAACATATAAACTATAAAGATCAAACTCATGCATACAAAAGTGAAGTATTCGATATCTCCATTTGCAATTTTTCTTTTTAAAACATTAAGTTCATCTGAACTTTCAAGTTGCTTATAACCTTTTGGATCATTATTTACTAAAATGTTTTTAATTTCAGCAAGTTGGAACATAACTTTTCTCTGAAACTCTGAAAAGTAAAATATATAATTGAAGCCATATAAATAGTATATAAAGTAGTAAACAGTACTTTCTATAAATGGTTGGAAAAGGTAGATTTAAACTAAATAATGCAAAAAATTCTCAAGTTTCATGCTTAACTTAAAAAAAGATATAAACAAGTAAAGTTCAAAAAAATTATAAGGTTTTTGTCTAACGCCAATAACTGTAAAGAATCGCTACCTATACACGAACATATATATATATATATATATATATATATATATATATATATATATATATATATATATATATATATATATATATTAAACATTGATCTAATTTTCTTAGTCACCTTGTTTCTACATCAGTAGGTTCATCAGGAAGCTTCCTGAGGAACCTACTGATGGAGAATCAAACTGTCAAAGAGAATTATATAAGTGTTATTACAAATTTATTGCTCTCAGGCATGTGGAGTTGGAAAAAAAAAGTACCAAGTTTTATTCGCTGGAATTTTTAGAGAACGACTCCGACTCCAAAGCAAAATTTTTTTGAACTTTGAATAAAAATTAAATAAACATTTCTTTGAATTCTTTTAAAAACATTACGCGATAATTAAATTTTTTTTTTTTTGTCAAATATATGAAAAGTTGTTTAAAGGTTAAATATTTTGTACATGAACATGTAACATCGAGAAGTTTTACTATTGTAGCCAGAGTTGCGATTTTGTTTACCAACTCTGACTCCACTAACAATGTTGCAACTTTAACACCATGACTCCACAGCCCTGATTGCTCTGTTGTTTAAGAACATTGCAGATATCACTCTATTTGTAGAATACACTAACATAATTTATATATACATACATATATAAAAAACCATAATAAAAAATACAAGTTTAGCATTGCAACAAATATGCAATACTTGACCGAATCAAAGCGATATAGTAAAACTAAATTTTTTATTCCCATTTAGAGCTGTATTTCCATCAGTATATAACATTGATCAATACGCACAGACACACACACACACACACACACACACACACATATATAAAATAAATATGTATGCATCATGTAAACATTATAATGTATATATATATATATATATATATATATATATATATATATATATATATATATATATATATATATAAATTATGTATATATAAAAATTATGTATATATAAATAATTATATATACAACCCATACTAGAACAATCATCAAATTAAATGGAACAACACAGTAACAACACCTAGGTATCAACATAAGTAATAATCTGAATAAATATATATACAACCCATGATGGGAAAAATCATCAAATTGAATGAAACAACACAGAAAGGAGACCTAGGTATCAATATAAGTAATAATCTGAAATGGAAAGACCACATTACAAGGATAACTAAAAAAGCTTACTCAAAATTAGGTAGACTAAAGCGGACATTTAAATTCTGGTCAACTGACTTCTTTACTATGATATTTTATCTCACAGCAAATAAATATATAATTGCTACTATAGAAGGATTAAAAAAATCCTACTCTGCAATAAATTGTAATATCTATGCTGTAGAAGAAAATAAATAAATTGTATATATATATAAATATATATATATATATATACATATATATATATATATATATATATATATATATATATATATATATATACACATATATATATAATTGTATATGTATATATATATATATATATATATATATATATATATATATATATATATTGTATATATATATATATATATATATACATATACAATTATATATATATATATATATATATATATATATATATATATATATATATATATATATATATATATATATATATATATATGTATAGATATAAATATATATGTATAGATATATATGTATAGATATATATGTATAATACACATATATATATACATATATATTTATACCTATACATATATATATATATATATATATATATATATATATATATATATATATATATATATATATATATATATATATATATATATATATATATATATATATGTATATTATATATATATATATATATATATATATATATATATATATATATATATTTATTTATATAACTTAGACACACAAAGTATCATTACTATTCTATAAAACATCAACTGAAACGTCTTGTTGCAATTTTGATATCTTTTGTTAAAATTCCCTCACTATACTGGTTACTTATTTAAACTTAATAACTAAACTCAATTTTCTTTTATTTAAAAATTGTATAGATTATAGTTTATAGATCATAGGTATAGAATATAGAGAATTGAAAAATATCTTTAAACGATAAATAACTAAATAAAATTAATGATATCAAAATAATCAACCTAACAATGCAGACATTTTTAATTAAACGAGTTAGCGCATAATATTTTATGCGCTAAGTTAATATATAAATTTTTCAACTTTAAATTTAAATTTTTTTGAAGACGTCCATTAAACGTCTTTGAGACAACTTATTTTTAAGGTAATTAGGACGTCTTATTTCCAAGGTAATTCTTATTTCTAAGGTAATTAGGACGCCTTAAGAAGGTCTTAGGGACGGCACAACTGTCAATTTCGAAAAACAGTCCCCTATATCCAGAATTTTTTTTTTTTTAAAAAACCTTTTGACAAAAAGGACGAGTCCCGCCTCACGGTCCCCCGTGTTGTCGGCCCTGTTGATTCAATTAATAGCTTCTTTGGCTAAGTGTACATAATAATCAATAGTATTATTTGTCATTTCCAGCATTCTTTGCAAAATGAGATAAAAATTGATTTTATCGTGGATGCGGTCAATTCTCACAGAACTCTAAGCGTCTTATAAAAGACTGTTATTGCACAATCTTTTTGATTTTTATTTTCGATTGCTTGAAATACTTAGTCTTCTACATAAAGCAGAAAGATGAGACACTTTTATTTTTTCGCTATATTGATCTTAACCCCTAAAGGACGGGAAAAAAAAGTTAAGTTAAAGACGGCTGGGGTATTAAACTACCCCAACTAAAAGTATAAGTTTTATACAAAACATGTTGAACTTTTTAATTAAAAATGCGTGCTTTCAACAAAAATATCAATTTTTTCAATGTTTTTTAGAATAAAAGTGATATTTGATACAATTTATCCAAATAAAAACAAAATATAACTCCTAAATAAGGCAACTATTGCCAACTATTTTGCTATGAGCCTTGCATACAAAATGGCTACATGATGCACATTGCAGACAGATTTTTCTGTCTTGAACACGAGGACACATATAGCATCTTTTTATGTGGTGCTCTTGATTTGGTTTACCTTGATTTAATAGGTTATTTTGTACAATTACTTGTCGAAGATTATTATTTGCAACTCTTTGTAGAAGATTGTCATTTGCATCAAACCTTTTAATAAGACTTTTTGATAACTCTTTTAAAAATTCTCTTCTTCTATGAGAAGCTCCACTTTTATAATTTGGGTGAATTGACCAGAATAAAATCAAAGTATTGTATGCTGCAATATCCAAAATATTTCAAAACATTGTAAATGGCCATCGGTTACTCTTTCGACGACTCGAATAGCACCTGACAACCTGGTCTAACGTGTCAACTCCACCTTTATATTTGTTGTAATCTAGAATAATACATGGTTTTTCATTATGGTCCATAACAATGTCATTTTTGTGACGGAAGGTTAATAATAATGTTACTGCTTATTTTTTCTTAGGTACACAAGAAACTATAGTAGAGTCATTTTGAAAGCAAAAAAGTCTAGAATAAACTGGTCGATGTAGGGTTAGCAATATCTTTTTTAGTATTTCTCCATTAATTTTTTTAATGGTGCCAGTGTATGTCATTTTACGTCCTAGCAATGCACGTGCAAGATGAATATTTGTAAAATAATTATCAGCTGTTATGTGTCTACCACTTCCATTTAAGTAATCAGTTAGTTCAAGAACTACTCGTGTACCTTGTCCAACACCACGTACTCCATTTACTCTACCAATATACGGTTGCAAATTTATGCAGTAAGAAGTTTCAACATTATATAATAACCATATCTTTATTCCATACTTTCCTGGCTTAGTAGGTATAAACATCTTAAATGGACAATGTCCCCTAAATGTAACTAGTTGCTCATCAACAGTTACACAAGATATGCACTTGGATTGTAGTTGCTCTTACATTTAGTAATAAACATTTCCATTATATTTCTTAAAGGTGCAGATTTGTCTTCAAACCGTCTTTGATTTCTTGTTTCTCTCTTATCAAATCGAATGTATCGTTGCAAGTTAACAAATCTATCTCTTTGCATTGAAGCAGAAAATATTGGTATGCCATCTAATTTACTCCAAAGCTCTTTTATGCTTTGATTTTTAGAATGAAAGACTCAAGTTAGAAGAAGAACTCCAATAAACTCATAAAGCCCATTTACCGTCGTTTCAACCCATCCTTCTAGTCTTATTCTATGAGCTTTAGCATTAGTGCAGTTGACAATAATTCTAATCATTTCTGGTATTATAAAGATTTTAAAGGCAGCATCCACACTTTGGCCGCAAACCTGAGCTGGAAACCTTGATGGGCCAGTTGGTTGTCGAATAAAATTGTGTGCACTTGGCTGAGCAGCATTTACACGCGGAAGTTTACTCCAAATTTCCTCACCATTCTTTGAAATCATGTTTTGATCTAAAATATGATTTGCCTGAACAACTTCTTCATCACTTTCATCAGAGATGATATCATCTGAACCATCGTCAGCTGTAATAATATCTTCTTCATCGTCTGCAAGGTTTTTTTTAGCTGAATCACCACTTGAAGATAAATCATTTAAACCAAAAATAATATCATTTGCCTCAACTGCAGCATTTCTTCTTGGGCGAATCATTATAATAATTATATTTTTCTAAAAATAGTTTCAGTCTTTATCAAACCAAATATATGAAAAATATAAAACAAATATTGTAGTCATTTTATTACATATTGGTACAAAATTATATTATTTTGTACCAATAGTATAAATATTTTTGACAAAAACAAAATATATGTAACATGAGCTGTTATAGATGTATAGATGAGATGTATAGGAATATTGTATAAAGCTAGAGGTGTGTTAAATAAACGTAGTCTAATTTAATTATATTTCTCTTTTATCCATTGTCATTTAAACTATGCAAATATTGCTTGGTGCAATGCCAATAAATGTA